GGGTAGAAGCTGTTTAGAAGCCTTTTGGACATAGACTTGGCGCTCCGGTACCGCTTGCCGTGCGGTAGCAGAGAGAACAGTCTATGACTTGGGTGGCTGGAGTCTTTGACAATTTTTAGGGCCTTCCTCTGACACCGCCTGGTATAGAGGTCCTGGATGGCAGGAAGCTTGCACTCACATCTGTGAATTCAACTTCAATTGCGCTGCTTTCGTGTGTCCCGTTTATTGTGCGCAGCGAAGGGAAAGTGTACAGACACATGCTAACAGACCTAGCTAGGCTACTAACATGTTGCAGTCTGGCTTTGGCTTTTAAAGCTTGACAATGAATAACCAAAAAACTAAACCAGCAACAAAACACCAAAGGAGAAACTCAAATAATAGGCTATCTGGCCCGCAAATTCATTGTGTTTTTTCAATATGGCCCTTGCGTAGATTAAGTTTGACACCCCTGCTATAAAACGTTATGAATTAACAAAAATATAAGGCAATAAAGCACTTGAAAACCAGGCTTTGACACTTTCCCCCTAAAAATTCAGCCTTGGGCAATGGGTGACATTTCTCCCAGTCATGGAGCATGTCCCTGTTATGTGGGGTGTTGTATGGAGACATTCACCTCTGATAGGCTTCCTCCATTTTAATGATGTCTATCTTCTCCTGTGCGCCAGTGAAAGCATCTTCGAATGAGAGTGGAACAACAGTGCAATACACTCTATCCAGCAAACTGGGAACATTCCCAGAACATTAGCTAAGATTCCCATTAAGTTCCAGTTAGTGTTATAATTTAGGATGATAACATCCCAAACAAAGGATGCTTTTTTATAACAAAATCTTTTATTTTCCCAAAAATGTTTTAAATGAAATATCCTTGGAACGTTGTCCTAACATTCACTAACATGTTGTGCACAACATCTTCATCAACCATCACAGAACATTCCCCAAAAGTTCATATTACGTTTCCAGGTAACACAATGGACCAGTAATGTTTTCCCAGCAAACCAAAATTGGTTCTGTGAATGTTCCCAGAACATTCGTTAGGTTGCGGCAAATTGTTTTATAACACAGAAACTGTCCATTCGTGGTGATGATTATAGAATGTTCGTATAAAACGTTCCCAGAACACATTTCTTCTGTTCTTTAATGGTTTCCAGAATGTTTCATTAGGTTGTGGGAACAATCTGGCAGGAACATTGTGGGGACATGACAAGAGATATGTTCCCAAAACACCTTTATTTTCAGTTGTGCCGATGATTCTACAATGTTTATTTTAGGGTTCATAAAACATTCACCTGATGTTACAAGAATGTTCAGAAATCGCATTTGGTCTGTTCTTTAATGGTTCCCAGAATGATTCATTAGGTTGTGGGAACAGTCTGGTGGGAACATTGTGGGGACATGACTCCTGAGTGGCGCAGTGGTCTAAGGCACTGCATCGCAGTGCTAACTGTGCCACTAGATCCTGGTTTGAATCCAGGCTCTGTCGCAGCCAGCCGCAACCGGGAGACTCATGGGCGGCGCACAATTGGCCCAGCGTCGTCCAGGGTAGGGGAGGGAATGGCCGGCAGGGATGTAGCTCAGTTGATAGAGCATGGCGTTTGCAACGCCAGGGTTGTGGGTTCGATTCCCACGGGGGGCCAGTATAAAAAAATATGTATTCACTAACTGTAAGTCGCTCTGGATAAGAGCGTCTGCTAAATGACAAAAATGTAAATGTAAATGACAAGAGATATGTTCCCAAAACACAAAAACTGTCCAGTTGTGCTGACATTCAGATAATGTTTGTATTAGGGTGCACAACAAGTGGTGCGACAGGGGAAACGTACAGGAACTTACGAGCTGCTGCTCTCCCGACTTGGAATACTTGGTCATCAAATGTCACCCTTTTATACATTTCGAGAGAGTTCTCAGGGATTCTTGCCATGGCTGTGTACATCCCGCCCCAAGCCGACACCAAAAATGCTCTAAAAGATCTTAATTGGACCCTGAACCAACTGGAGACCGCATACCCGGAGGCAGCGTTCATTGTCGCGGGGGACTTTACATTTTTTTATTTGAGGGCCGTGCTCCTGAATTATTATCAACACATTGACTGTTCAACTCGTGCAAATTCAATGCTTGGCCACTGCTACACACCTTTTCGACATGGATAAAATGCCCTCTCCCGTCCTCCTTTCGGCAAATCTGACCATGACTCCATTTTGCTCCTCCCCGCCAACAAACAAAGACTCAAGAGGAAGGTTCCGGTGGTCAGGTCTGTACAGCGCTGGTCTGACCAATCAGAATCCATGCTCCAAGACTGTTTTGATCACGTGGACTGGAATATGTTCCGACTCAGTCACCGGATTCATGAAAAAAATGCATAGATGACGTGATACCGATAGTGTCTTTCAAAACTTTACTGATTAAAAACGTGGATTGTTGGCAGCCTTGTCGGAAAACTGAAGGAGAGAGATGCTGCTTATAAACACATCAAGGTGACCGGGGACAATAGTTTGGTTAAACAGTACAAATACGACCTACGCAGATCGATCAAGATTGCGAAACACAAGTATAGGGACAAAGTGGAGGAGCAATTCAGCAGGTCGGACACAAGGCGTATGTGGCAGGGGCTTCTAACGATCACGGATTACAAAAAGAAAGCCAGTCACATCGCGGACTCCAACGCTGTCCTACCGGACGAGCCAAACTCCTTTTTCTCACACTTCGAGCATGACGACTCTGAGCTGCCGAGGAGAGCCCCTGAGGACAACGAGGGCCACGTGCTTACGGTCTACACGGAGGATGTATGTAAGTCTGATGTCACGACAATAGTAGACCTGATTACCAGCAACGACGAGATGGCCTACAGGAAGGAGGTAGGCACTCTGACGGTGTGGTGCCAGGTAAACAACCTCTCCCTCAATGTCAGCAAAACAAAGGAGCTGATTGTGGACTTCAGGAGGAACCAGGCTGGGCACGCCCCCATCCTCATCAACGGGGCCACCGTGGAGACGGTCAGTAATGTCAAGTTCCTCGGCATCCACATCTCAGAGGAGCTGAAATAATCTAACCACACGGACACTGTGGTGAAGAAGAAACGACAGTGACTCTTCAACCTCAGGAGGCTGAAGAAATTCTGCCTGTCCCCGAGGTCCCTCACAGTGTTCTACAGGAGCACCATCGAGAGCATACTGTCGGTCTGCATCACAGCCTGGTACGGCAACTCCACCACCGCGGACCGCAAGGCGCTACTGAGGGTGGTGCACTCAGCCGAACGCACCATTGGGTGCACACTGCCTGCTCTCCAGGACACCTACAACACCAGGTGTCTTAGGTAGGCCAAGAAGATCATCAGGGACCCCAGCCACCCGAGCCACGGACTGTTCTCCCCGCTTCCATCACTCTGAAGCGGGCAGTATAGGAGCATCATGTGAAAGACTGGCCACTAGCTTCTACCCCAGACCATCAGGCTGCTGAATAGCCACCACTAGTAAGTATTCTATAATCATCACTATGACTGGACAGTTTGTGTGTTATGAGAACATTTGCCGCGACCTAATGATAGTTCTGGGAACTTTCACAGAAACCAATTTTGGTTTGCTGGGTAGTCATTGAGGAGAAAAGAGGAGCACACAGTGTCCCATAATAGTGCACTACTTTTGATTAGATCCACTGAGGGAACCGAATAGGGCCCTGGTGGAAGGTAATGCCCTATATGGGAAATATAGAGTATTATATGACGCACCAGCCTACAGTGTGTTGCCATGGCCACATACAGAGCTGTGTTGACAGTGGCCCTGTCGCTGCTTGTCCTACAGTCGTTATTACAGGATGCTTGGCATGCTCTCCCTCAGCCACTAATGACTGGTGTTTAATCAGGCCACTCATGTTAGGGAGCAGGATATAAAGGCTGGCAAAAGGACAGCACTACATTAGCTGAAATAATGTGTGTGATAGAAATACAATAATAGCTTAGTGGTATAGTAGCATGATATTGTATGGTAGCCTCACAGAAATATAAGTAATTCATATCTCATTTCTATGGGTAGCCTACTCATTTGAGTTTTTATGTCTTAAGATGTCGTGCTGGAGCACTTTACAGTCATTCATGTCCTATGGTGTTTTTTACAATGGTCTCATGCTTTCAACACAAACACATACTAAACCAATTAACTAGTTGGTTGTTATTTCCATTATGTTCATGTTGAATATAACGCCCTGTATGTGTTTTACTAGGAGGTATTCATGAAAATGAATAGTGCTGTCACGTCTCCTCCCGTTGCTCCCCTCCGGCGCTCTCGCCGTTCTACTGAGCCACCGGTCTGAGCGCACCACCTCTGCAACACCGGAATGGAAACCCAACGCACCCCAATCACCTCCAGCGCACCTACACCTCATCATCTCATCACCATCCCTATTTAGCCCTGGACTGTTCCTAATGATGTTGTGTGTGATTGTTAAGCTTGATGTCGTTTACTCTATGTTTGTTATTTCTCATTGTTAAGTAAACCTTGACCTTGTTAATTCCTGCGTCTGCTGCCTGCCTCTTCGTATACTCAGTACTCGTCACAAGTGCATTATGTGATAACTATGTTTGTTAAGAAAAACATATCTTAGCATTTGACCATTTTCATTACAGAATATTGGCCTACATATGGAATTTAGGTCATGTCGGTTAACCTTGTTTTTTCCATATATTAATAAATAACCTAGCTAGATATTGTTCAGTATATTTCTCAGTACAATTTAAACATATAACTGACAGTATCCTGGCAGGTTCTCGTGCATGCTTTGCCTCAAGGACTGCAGTATGTTCCACAGGGTTTCCATTCTCTGATTTCTTTGTGCTAAGAAACCCACCCCAAGACACCTCAGAAATCGCTGCCAGCAATTTATGGGCCATAACCTCCTCTGTTTTAAAGAACTTGTTTACAGACTATCTCGTCGAGGCTTGCTGTGCAGCAATACCACTGGGTCGTGCCACAGAGGTCCATAGCTTCAGAACTGCACAGAGAAGAGTAAACTCAAAAACATCTATCAGCTTTACAGCCATCTTGAGACAAAGGAGGAGTGACCACCAGCAGCAGAATCATCATACTCACCCTTTTCACGTCTTTTCCAAACGTCTCGCTGAAGCTGGTGCCCAGTATTTCAAACTGGACGTGAGAATTGGATCCGTTCGCTTTGAAATCCATAGTTCCTGTGAGGCCTGTGATATGTCCCTGTGATGGGAGAGAGAGGGAGGGAGATAGAAAGAGAGAGAGAATATAGGATGAATTTCAAGTGTGAGCTCTCACAGTGTCACAACAAGACCACCTGTCCAGTGCCAAGCCCTTTAGTATCAAGTCCATAATGAAATTGATGCGCTCCCAAAGCCAGTTTAATATTTTGGTTGAATCAGTTTGTACGTTTGAACCAGTGACACTGTGCTAGGGACAGGCCGAGATCTCTGAGACAAAGATGCGCACACACACACACACACTCACACACACACACACACCAATACTGCTCTAAAGACATAATAGTCTCTGCAGAGGAAATCTAGTACGTAGCACCTTTTAGTGCTGAAGATATTGAGTCCAGAGAATGGCAATAGCAGAAATGACATGGAAGTCAAGGGGGTGGCAACCATCTTCATCTCCCACAGCTGTGCATCTCCAGTTGTAATGCAAGTAGAGGGAATTAGATTCAAGGACCATTTTATTATTTTCTGCTTCCGACTTTATTCACGGCCTTGTGCCCTTCTGGTTTTGAAAAACAGTGGATTCACAACCTATGTTCCTTGAACAACATTTCAAGTATTCAGCATGATGATGTCAGGACTTCCTCCGAAGCTGCCTCCTCTCCTTGTTCGGGAAGGCTTCGGCGTTCATCGTCACCGGCCTTCTAGCCACTGCCGCTCCTCATCTCATCATTCCATTTGTTTTGTCTTGTTCATTACACACACCTGGTTCATATCCCCTCATCAGTACCTGTATAAGTGTTTCCTCTGCCCCCTTGTCTTTGTGTGTAATTATTTATTGTGGAGGATAGAGAAGCTCGGTGGAGCTCCTTGTATTTTGTATTGCTGGGAATATTCCCGGTGTGCCTTGTTGTTTCCAGTGCGCCTATTTTGCGCACTGAAGCATTTTGACGCATTACTGCGTAACTCCTGTTATTCTGTGATTTACCCTCCTGTGCCTGACTTCGAAATCACTCATCACAGAATCACACACCAAGACATGGAGTCAGCAGGAGAGGAGCACTTGCCTGGAGTTGTGGCGCAGGTCCGGGAGCATTCTACAATACTAGCCAGCTTGGGAGAAGCGATGGATCGGGTTCTCCAGGTCGTCCAACGCCTGGAGAGGAGAGGACCCGATCTTTCGGGACCAGCTGAGTGATCAGATCCAGCCACCCACTCCCCAGCACCCAGAGGGATTCATATATCACGACCAAGGGATTTTGATGGGACAGCTGCCCGCTGCCAGGGATTCCTCCTGCAACTGGATCTATACTTCTCGACCATCAGCCCGGCTCCATTGGAGCCCTCGTCTCCTGCCTCTCGGGGAAAGCCCTGGAGTGGGCCAAAGCGGTCTGGAGTGAAGGAGGAGCCGCGTTGGACAACTACGGAGAGTTCGCTCGCCTCTTCCGGGCCGTATTCGATCACCCGCCCGAAGGTAGAGAGGCGGGCGAGCGGCTGTTCCACTTGAGGCAGGGGACGAGGACCGCGCAGGACTTTGCCCTGGAGTTTCGTACTCTAGCGGCTGGGTCCGGGTGGAACGAGCGGGCCCTCATCGACCATTTCCTGAGCCACCTGCGAGAGGACGTCCGAAGGGAGCTAGCCTCACGGGACACCACGTTGTCCTTCAATCAACTGGTGGACATGGCCAACCTGTTGGACAACCTGCTGGCTTCTAGAGGACGTCCTGGAAGGGGCCTCCCCGTTTCACCCACCCCCCCCCCCCCCCAACCCGGATCACGAGATGATGGAGCTGGGTGATGCGGTGATCCGGGAGAGAGGAGGACGACAGCGCCAGTGTCACTCTCGTGGCACGAGAGGACATTCTACTGCACGCTGTCGTCAACGTTCTTTTGGGTCTGGAGGCGGCAGGCAGGGCACTCTCGCGTCACCCCAGGTATTGAACACTCGTTCAGAGCCCTCTGCTGCGCACTGTACCCTACACATCCACTTCCCTGATTACACAGTAGTTCTCCAGTGTAAGGCGCTGGTCAATTCAGGTGCAGCTGGGAACTTTATGGACAGGTTATTAGCGCATATTCTAGGTATTACATTGGTTCCCCTATCCATTCAACTCCCCATCAGAGCACTTGACAGTCAACCATTAGGGTCCGGGTTCATTAGGGAAGTTACAGCACCGGTCACTATGGTTACGCACAAGACCCATAGAAAGCAAGTCACCTTTTTTATTATTGAGTCTCCTGATTTCCCTGTTGTGTTGGGTCTTCCCTGGTTAGCACTACACAACCCCACATTTTCAGACCAGACACTACCTCCACCGTGCGCATTCCTCCCGAATACCTCGATTTGGCGCACTCGTTTTCCAAAACGCAGCCGACCAAATTACCACCTCATCGGGCGGGGGATTGTGCGATAAACCTCCAGGTAGACGCTGTGCCTCCCAGGAGTCATGTGTATCCCCTGTTGCAGGCTGAAACGGATGCGATGGAGACAGGGGTTCATACGTCCCTCCACTTCGCCCGCCTCCTCGAGTTTCTTTTTTGTGAAGAAGAAAGATGGAGGTTTGTGCCCTTGCTTTGATTACCGAGCACTGAACAAGGTATATAGTTATAGTTATCCTCTACCCCTCATTCCATCTGTAATCGAGTCAATGCATGGGGCGCGCTTCTTCACAAAATTAGATCTCCGTAGTGCGTACAACCTGGTGCGTGTCCGAGAGAGGGACGAGTGGAAGACAGCGTTTAGCACAACATTTTTTAAATTTTTAGTCATTTAGCAGATGCTCTTATCCAGATCAACTTACAGTTAGTGAGTGCATAATTTTTTTTTCATACAACCACGGGGCATTACAAATACCTGGTGATGCCGTACGGTTTGATGAATGCTCCATCCGTCTTCCAGTCCTTTGTGAACGAGGTGTTTCGGGAAATGCTTGGTCGTGGTGTAGTGGTCTACATCAATGACATTCTGGTGTATTCTGCTACGCACGCCAAACATGTGTCCCTGGTTCGCAAAGTGCTGGGCCGACTGTTGGAACATGACCTTTATGCCAAGGCAGAAATGTGTCTGTTTTTCCAGCAGTCCGTCTCCTTCCTCGGATACCGCATTACCACCTCAGGTGTGGAGATGGAGGGAGATTGCATTTCAGCCATGCGTAATTGGCCGACTCCAACCACGGTAAAGGAGGTGCAGCGCTTTATTGGCTTTGCCAACTACTATCAGAGGTTTATCCGGGGTTTTGGCAAGGTCGCAGCTCCCATCACATGTTGAAGGGTGGGCCATCCCGGCTCCGCTGGTCTGCTGAGGCTGACCTCAGCCCCGGTACTGGCCCATCCAGATCCATCACTACCATTCGTAGTGGAGGTGGATGCGTCCGAGGTAGGGCTAGGCGCTGTCCTATCTCAACGCTCGGCACGCCACCCAAGCTCCGCCCCTGTGCCTTCTTCTCCAAGAAGCTCAGCCCGGCGGAGCAGACCTACGATAGTCCCGGCCTCCTGCATTGTGGCGCCGGTAGTGTGGGCGGTGGACGCGGACATAGAGTGGGCGTTACGCACAGAGCCTTCTCCACCTCAGTGCCCAGCTGGGATGCAGTACGTGCCATCTCTTGTCTGTGACCGTCTGATCTATTGGGCACACACGTCCCCCTCCTCTGGTCACCCAGGTTTCGGCCGTACAGTGCGCTGCCTGACCGGAAAGTACTAGTGGCCTACCTTGGCTAAGGACTTGAGGGTGTATGTCTCCTCCTGCTCGGTGTGTGCCCAGAGTAAGGCACCTAGGCCCCTCCCAGCGGGTAAGTTACAGCCCTTATCAGTTCCACAATGGCCATGGTCCCACCTGTGTATTGACTTTCTCACTGATCTTCCCCTCTCTCCGGGGTCCCCAGTTTACATCCAGGGTCTGAAAGACGTTCATGGAATGTCTGGGGTCTCGGTCAGCCTGACCTCTGGGTTTCACCCCAAGAGTAATGGGCAGGTGGAACGGGTGAATCAGGATGTGGGTAGGTTCCTACGGTCCTACTGCCAGGACCGGCCGGGGGAGTGGTCGGTGTTCTTGCCATGGGCAGAATATGCCCAGAACGTTCTCTGCCACTCCTCTACTAACCTATCGCAATTTCAATGTGTTTTAGGTTATCAGCCTGTTCTGGCACCGTGGCATCAGAGCCAGACCAAAGCTCCTGCGGTGGATGACTGGTTTCGGCGCGCGGAGGAGACGTGAAACGCTGCTCATGTTCACCTCCAGCACGCCGTGCGTCGCCAGAAGGCCAAACGCTGACCGGAATCTGCCCTTCCGCCTGCCCTGCCGGAAGCTGAGCCTGCGGTTTGTGCGTCCGTTCAAAGTCCTGAGGAGGATAAACAAGGTTACATATAGGTTATTACTCCCTCCAGATTACCATATTAACCCCTCGTTCTTTCCATGTGTCTCTCCTCAGGCCGGTGGTGGCTGGTCCGCTCCAGGAGTCTGAGGTGCGGGAGGTTCCTCCGCCCCCTCTGGACATCGAGGGGCCCCTGCGTACTCCATCCGTTCCATCCTGGATTCGAGGCGTCGGGTGGGGGGCCTTCAGTACCTCGTGGAGTGGGAGGGGTACGGTCCGGAGGAGCGGTGCTGGGTTCCGGTGAGGGATATCCTCGATCCCTCCCTATTGCGGGATTTCCACCATCGTCATCCGGCTTGCCCTGCTCTGTGTCCTCCTGGCCGGCGCTCCTAGTGGCCGGCGTGCTGCTCGTCAAGTGGGGGGTACTGTCATGACTTCCTCCGAAGCTACCTCCTCTCCTTGTTCGGGCAGGCTTCGGCGTTCGTCGTCACCGGCCTTCTAGCCACTGCCGCGCCTCATCTCATCATTCCATTTGTTTTGTCTTTTTTATTACACACACCTGGTTCATATCCCCTCATCAGTGCCTGTATAAGTGTTCCCTCTGCCCCCTTGTGTTTGTGTGTGATTGTTTATTGTGGTGGATAGAGAAGCTCGTTGGAGCTCCTTGTATTTTGTATTGCCGGGAATATTCCCTGTGTGCCTTGTTGTGTTTTGACGCATTACTGCGTAACTCTGTGTTTCGGAATAAATCCTGTTATTCTGTGATTTACCCTCCTGCGCCTGACTCCTTCGAAATCACTCATCACAGATGAAAGTCAGTCAATCACGATCACAATCACAATAAAAAAAACATCAAAATATCTCTGTTTCACTGTAATGACTAGGGAAATCAGGCAAACAATTCATACAGTATAAGGTTAGAAAAAGGTTCTTGTTCATGTTCTGAACTCAATTTTACCATTTGGATGTTCTCCAGCATGGACCAGCCTCCATTCCAAGGCTTGGTGGACTTCTTGATGCAGTTCAGACTGGCCATGCTGTGCCACTTCCTGTCCACCAACTTCCTCTGGAAGGCGTTGGCCAGTGCCAGCACGCTGTCATACAGGTACAGGTTGGACACCTGGAGTACAGACAGTCACAGGCACATAGTGGGAGGAGGAGGGAGAAAACACCATAGAATTACATACAGGACTCTAGAACGGGCATTAGCATCCTACTAATATGCCTAAAAATCGTCCATCTTGGTCAGGAAAATGTCCATTCTAGAAACTGATAACATATCGTAAAATGTTCTATTAAACACAACAGAGATTGGAGACCATGGAAACCAGTTAAACGTGATTAGATCATTGTTGATGCACAACAATACAATTTAAGCTGCACCATAATGGAGTTTTGGTGTGTTTGATAGGACTGGTGTGTTTTGATGCGTTTAATAGGACCAGGATTTCCCATGGGTATTGTCTGTTTGTGTGTCATGCTGACTTGGAAAACTACTGCATAAACAAAGGTTAGAAAGGCTTTATAAACATAGCCCTGTGGTTGTCTGTCAAAGCAACGCCACATATGTTGGTCTGGCTCTAATGGGGAGTGAATGGGTGCTAATCCTAGTGACATCTGGGACTAGGAGGCACTGTAATTGGGAGTAGGACACAGCTGGGGACATCAGGAACCCAAAAACACACATGCATGAACATTTAAACACACAAGCCCCCATCTACCACACTCCCCTTTCAAACTGACACACAGCATGACAGCCCCCTTGAGCAGATGTGAGTCCAGTACCAGAGTCAACCCAGAGCCATGGAGCAAAAACAAAATGCACAGTGACAAATAAACAGTGGAGCAGTCCAACTGTTTCAGAGATGAAGGACGCAGACTTCACACTGGGCTACGATAATGTCATAACCTGCACTGACAATTCATGCCGTCTCCCTTCTCCAGCATGTTAGAATAACAACATTAAGCAATACTGAGCTGCATCCGCATTATAATACTATAGGCTACCTCATGCATCCACCCCTCATCATGATATTATTGTGATAACTTACACACATATCTGTTGTAATTATTATGCCTTTTGTCATTTTAGAGTGTGAACCCACAATCAGGACCACGCCCGTAATGTGCAGGCCTACTAGAGTGCTGTAATTCATACAGTAAAGCAGTCTGCACTAGTCTGTGGCCAGATTAGAAGCCTCAAGGACAGCTATGAACTAGACAGGGCTCGGCTAACTGAGTCCAGGCAGGGCTAACTGATGCTGGGATGGACTAAGAAAGGGTAGTCTCGTAAACCCAACCCTAGGCAAAAGCGGTGGGGTCTGGTTTGAATGAGGGACTCTTTTGGCATAGAGGAACTACGTCACTGCCTACGTCGACAACGAAAAACTCCCAACAAATCAAGAGGAAAACCAAAGGTTGCAGGCAAAATCTTTGCAGTGGTTTTAGTTAAAGGAACATTTTCACCCAAAAATTATATTTTGGTATTTGTTTCATTAGTCCATTGTTGACATAGTCCCAAAATGTTTTGCTTGTCAGCACTCAAATTTCCAAGATATGTAATGATGCAAAATGCTTCATACAGGGATGATTTCTGTATTTTGAAAGTTACATAAAGTAGTGGCGTAGGCAGTGACGTAGTGCCAAAAGAGTCCATCATTGACACCAGACCTGAGTCACTGCTTTTTCCTATGGTCAGGTTTACGAGACTAAGGCTGGACTGGGCTAACTGAGGCTGGGCAAAGTAAGTCTAGGCAGGGCTAAGGTTGGGCTGTTGGATCTGTTGGGGCAGTATGCAAATTGGAGTGGGTCTAGGGTTTCTGGGATGATGATGTTGATGTGAGAAATGACCAGCTTTTCAAAGCACTTCATGGCTACCGACGTGAGTGCTACAGGGCAGTAGTCATTTAGACAGGTTACCTTGGCGTTCTTGGGCACAGGGACTATGGTGATCTGCTTGAAACATGTAGGTATTACAGACTCGGTCAGCGAGAGGTTGAAAATGTCAGTGAAGACACTTGCCAGTTGGTCAGCGCATGCTCTGAGTATGCATCCTGGTAATCTGTCTGTCCCTGCGGCCTTATGAATGTTGACCTGTTTAAAGGTCTTACTCACATCGGCTTCGGAGAGCGTGATCACACAGTCGTCCGGAACAGCTGGTGCTCTCGTGCATTGTTCAGTGCTGCTTGCCTCGAAGCGAGCATAAAAGGCATTTAGCTCGTCTGGTAGGCTCACATCACTGGGCAGCTCACTACTGGGTTTCTCTTTGTAGTCCGTAATAGTTTGCAAGCCCTGCCACATCCGACGAGCGTCAGAGCCGGTGTAGTAGGATTCAGTCTTAGTCCTGTACTGACGCTTTGCCTGTTTAATGGTTCGTCGGAGGGCATAGCGGGATTTCTTATAAGCGTCCGGATTAGTGTCCAGCTCCTTAAAAGCGGCAGCTCTTTATCTCAGTGTGGATGTTGCCTGTACTACATGGCTTCTGGTTGGGATATGTACGTACGGTCTCTATAGGGACAACGTCGTCGATGCACTTATTGATGAAGCCGGTGACTGATGTCGTATACTCCTCACAATGCCATCGGATGAATCCCGGAACATATTCCAGTCTGTGCTAGCAAAACAGTCCTGTAGCTTAGCATCTGCGTCATCTGACCACTTCCATATTGAGCGAGTCACTGGTACTTCCTGCTTGAGTTTTTGCTTATAAGCAGGAATCAGGAGGATATAATTATGGTCAGATTTGCCAAATGGAGGGCGAGGGAGATCTTTGTACGCGTCTCTGTGTGTGGAGTAAAGGTGTTCCAGTTTTTTTTTCCTTTGGTTGCACATGTGATATGCTGGTAGAAATTAGGTAAAACAGATTTAAGTTTTCCTGCATTAAAGTCCCCTGCCACTAGGAGCGCCGGTTCTGTGTGAGCATTCAACAACAACAACTCTGCATGTTTACTCCATTATCACTCCTCTCCTCTCCTCCGCCTTTTTGTTAGCTGTGTGTTGTAGTGTATTGGGATTATGTCTTTGTTAAATGTTTTTTAAGTGGAACTGAAAGAATGTTGATTTTAGTATCAAGAGGGAATGTTTTAGTGTAACGCCACATACAACAGACAGGAAGTGTGTTGTAGACAGGGGAGACTGGTGATTGGCCAGAAGAGGGAGCCCATCTTTTTGCATTGTTTATAAGTAAGGGGCTAGACAAATAGAGGCAGAACGGCCATGGCAATCTGGGACGCCGTTCTCCAGACACCGCGGGTCTGTAACTTATGCTGTAACCTTGTGATATTAATAAAAGCCTCTAATCATTGTGCAGCATAAGCGGACTCTTTGTTGACAGCAATAATTGCCACCATTCAACCGATACGACAGTGTCCTCTCCTGATTTCTGTGTTTTGATGATAACCTTCTGATTACTTCACTATCACAACATGTTCAACCAGAGATCAACAAGTGACCCCTTTCGAAGCCTCCATCGAGAGTTCTGTGATCGGCTATCTCAGTCAAGCTCAACCCAGAGAAGTGGAGTGAATCACTACATTATGGAGGTGATTTGCTGTGTACCAGTATACCGGCAGAGTGAAGAAGTGCATATGGCTAATTTGTTAATACATGGCTAATTTACAGCTATCCAGGGCGTGAGAACTAGATACAGTAGTGTTAAAAGTGCAAATTCAGCAACAGACTGCTGATGGGGTATTGCCGGCACCGTGAACCAGCATTTTCCTTGTCATGAAGGTGATTTAACATCAAAGAGCGTTTAACCCTCTTTTGCATTAATTATTGAGAGGAGCCCCCGGAGGATTTGGGCCATCTGTTAACGGTTAGGGATAGCGAGAGTTCAGGTGGGTTCAAGGAGGTTTTCAGTCAGAGACACCTCTGGTTACATAAAGGTGGAACAGAGGGGAGGGATGGCAGAGAGCAGCATCCATGTGATCTCGTTGAGTGGTTTGATTGAAAATGTCTAGCTGCTATCTAGCTGCCATATCAAAGGGGTATCTTTGATAACTTTGTCATCATATAGTACTTGTGTTGCTTCCTCTACTGTTACTGTTAATGGGTAATATACTCGAAAACATATTCTTGTCATAAACTGCAGGTAGTGATTACATAGTGTTTACTCCAAGTTTGCGAGAATCTCAGACTATTATTTGTTGGATTCTTAGCAATAAAGTGTAGGTTGCTTGGTTGAGTAAACTAAAATAACTGATATGAATGGGAAGTTCAGTCTGAATAGAGTGTTAGGAGACTCAGGAGACTGAAAGCAAAACAACTAATGAGTCAATAGGAATCACAGGTCTAACATCTCTCTAGCATCCTGGTCCTCTCAACCATAGAAATATAATCTCTAGAATCGGAATCCCCATTCAAGTCAAGCCCCTTCTAGTGATTATATTTCTATGCTCTCAACCAACCCTTCCTTATCTGTCTTACAGGCCTCCAAAACCTGTCACTGTATCCCAGCACACGTCAATGGCACGGTCTTGTGTAACATCTCATCATCCACTATCAGTCAATGGGAGATCAACTATTGGTGCTGTTGACCCTCAGGGGCCCCCAGGTCACATGCTCAATGATACTCTAAACAGACAGAGGGCTCTGTCATTCTGGGGCTGTCCCTGACGTGACTTGTGATAGGAGTCACTGACCTCACCCCCAGAGGCAGCATCAGATAACAGTAAAAGTAGACATGGGCATAGCGCTAACATTTCTTCGATACACACAATTGTTGTTTCTTATGTATTTGTTATGATCGACCTTGAAGATATTAATAAAGAGCAAGGGCAATTTGGCTCCGAACGTGATATGTGGGGACTGACATTTTTTCAGGAACAACTCGGGACTCTGGCCCCTGGTCAGGTTACATAGCCAGGAAAGGTGCTCAACCCTAGGGATATAAAAACACTGGCCTTGATGTAAAGGTGCGTAAAAAGGCCCCTTGTTGAACTGACCTCCAGTGACTGTAAGTATCCTTCCTGGGGGTCACAGAGTAAGGAGGAGATGCGGTGGTTGTTCCTCATGCAGCGCACGCTGCTGTCCCTCCACAGCGGGAAGATCTGACGAATCACTGTCATCCGCCCCAATGCACTGTGGGCCAGCTCCATGATCTCAGTGTCACTGATCTCCTACAGACAGAGGGGGAAAGAAGGGAAGAGGAGGGGAGAGGAGGTGAGAGGGGGAGAGAAGGGGAAAATAAGGGAGAGAAGGGGAGAGAAGGGGAGAGAGGGGGAGAGAGGGGGAGAATGGGTGAGAAGGGGAGAGAAGGGGGGAGAAGGTGAGAGGGGGAGAAAAGAGGAAAGAAGGGGAGAGGGGTAGAGAATAGGTGAGGAGGGGAGAGGGGAGACATGTTACAGCATCAACAAAAATGGTCTATAGATGAACAGGGTGAAACAAAAACTGTCCTGCCTGTTACTACTGACTACCAACTATGACAAGGTGGACAGAGTCCCTGTGTATGGTGACCATATTAGGACCGTCTCAGTCTGAGACTCTATTGATTCGGATGTGGTCATTTTCAACAAGCTTTTTATGTAGGCCCTTTACTTCTTGTGATTACTTCGGCATTCTGAATAATCAGGAACAGCCATAGCCTATACCAGAAAGCAAAGGCCCAGTGGCCAACCCATATAAACAGCATAATGCACATGAAAATGAACCCACAATCACTATTCAAGCACTTACAAACCACAATATCTGCTAAGGGGAAAAAATATGAATGTATCACTAGAATGAAATTTGTAATTTAAAAGTTTGACGTCCAAGTAAAAGAGTAATCACAAGAGAAAAGCGAGAGCTGTGTCCTCAGAAAGCTCGAACAAACGTCTAAACTGGGTATGAGTATGAAGTCTGTATAGTGTGCGATGTCCATATTAGGATAGCCTCAGTCTCAGCAGGTGGCAGTGCTGCAGGAGCTGTGTCCTAAGGAGGAATCTCTCTGATGAGTATGAATATAATAATAATAATAATAATAATATGCCATTTAGCAGACACTTTTATCCAAAGCGACTTACAGTCATGTGCGCATACATTTTTACGTATGGGTGGTCCCGGGGATCGAATCCACTACCCTGGCGTTACAAGCGCCGTGCTCTACCAATTGAGCTACAGAGGACCACTCTAGATGCTTTGCTGCGTGGTGAAAGAGGTTCTTCCTTCTCCTCCTTCTACTTCCTTGGGTCTGCTTGCTGTTTACAACACAGTGCTCACTCAGCCTGCAGGCAATCTCTGAGCTCCTGCCTGGGCCAAGGCCCCATCATCTCACCCGCCACATCCACCCCCAGGATATGTGCTAGTCAGCCACAGCCAGCCCCCGGCCCATGGCTCCCTGCTCACCCCACCACCACAGCTGTTGGCTTGTCTTCTCAGACTTCGTTTGTTTTTATCATATTTTCTGATGGCTTGGGCTTCCCTCAGCCCTGTGGGAATGGGAAATGAACCCAGGTAGGCTTGCACAATCCCAGTCTGCACCTTGCCTGCCCTGACACTGTCAGGCAAACCTCAAGGGCGGTTTCCCGGATACAGATTAAGCCTAGTTCTGGACTAAAAAGCAAACTCAAAGGCGAATCTCCATTGAAAATTATTTTTTGGGCTTAATCTGTATCGCATGACATGATGATAATAACAGACACATCTGGTACTGACCATTTGGCAGTGATGCATGGTTAATTTACCCTACAACTATAGTGTGATATGGGGGAAATAAATGCTGGTCGCAGCTTGAAAAAATAATATCTCATCACAAAACTCTGAGCTGCCAAATGATTCAAAGGCAGATAATCTGATAAAAATAATTAAACTAAGAAGTATGGGTAATGTTTTACTCTTCATCACGTTGGTATTTTCTCCATATATATAAAAAGATGCCAAAGTTTTACACACTGATTTTTTGTTAAATATAGGGACATACGCTTTTTGGGTTGTAGTTTTTCACCCTGTCAGAGCTAATAGGGTATAGGGTGTACAGTACGCAACATTTCCTTTCATAGAATAACCAGACGCAAAGTTATTAATATTCATAAGTTACATCGGTTGATTGGTTAAGCCTTCTTCGGTGTGTGACATCACACAGATGCGCTTTTACCTTTCCACAAACTGTCTGTTGCTTGATATGAGCAAGTTGACCCCAGTGTTGCCAACTTAGCGACTTTGTCGCTATATTTAGCGAGTATTCAGACCCCTCTAGCGACACATTTTCAAAAAAGTGACTAGCGACAAATCTAGCGACTTTTTCTGGTGTTATTGGAGACATGAAAGCACGTATCATTCTTACTCTTCTCAACGAGCAGCGGGTGCTGTCGTGGGGGTGGGGGACCCACCACCGTCCCAAAGCACTCACAGGCGGCCCAGTGTTCGCACAGATTTTTACTCACTTTTTGTCTCTCCCACGACGTTATTCCTCTCTCCTACAGTGTCCATCACAATTACATGCACATGGCCAATTATGCAAATTAGGCGATTACGTCATTTACCGACTTCTAGCGACTTTTAGGACAGCCAATAGCTACTTTCCTTACTGAGGAGTTGGCAACACTGGCAGTTTAGCGACTTTGTTGCTATATTTAGCGAGTTTTCAGACCCCTCTAGCGACACATTTTCAAAAAAGCGACTAGCGACACCTTTTCTGGTGTTATTGGAGACTTTTGGAGACTCTGACGTGAAAGCACGTATCGTTCTTACTCTTCTCAACGAGCAGCGGGTGCTGCCGTGGGACCCACCCCGTCCCAAAGCACTCACAGTCCCTCCCAGCTGCAGTCAGAGCAGGAGATGTTCACCCCTCCGCGTCCAGACTGCAAATGAATCGCGCATGCGGGAAGCCGCCGCTTGCTGATCCCGCCCTGGGCAGAATGTAAATGTAGGGTGTTTTCCACTCATTTTCCACTCACTTTTTGTCTCTCCCACGACGTTATTCCTCTCTCCTACAGCATCATAATGACATGCACATGGCCAATTATGCAAATTAGGTGATGACGTCATTTAGCGACTTTTAGGACAGCCAATAGCTACTTTCCTTACTGAGGAGTTGGCAACACTGACTGTGATAGTTAGCTACTGCCTGGCCAGTGTGAACCAGCATGCTAGCTAGCTGCATTTCACTCAGTAGCTATCCTTCTAAATGCTGTGGTCACTGGATAAACTAGCTATGAGTTACATATTTTGGTGAAAACAAACAAGTAGCCAGTTGTTGTTGCCCATGAAGTAATAATATCTAACCAGCTGGCTCCTGAAGCCTACATGACATGTCTAGTATGTGCTCATGAGCTCCTTAATCTACGCTCAGTCTAGCACAGAAAACAGCTGAGGTGATTCAAACCCTATAGCTAGCTAACAAGCCCTTCTCGGCGACAATGTTATTGGGGTGTGGTAATTTTAGATGTCTTTTCATGGGAACTGCCATTGAAGTTGGTACTGGTTTTAGGGTTGTCACTAGTTACCACAGACATTTTACCAGACTCTCTTATCCAGAGCGACTTACAGTTAGTGAGTGCATACATTATCATCCTGGCCCCCCATGGGAATCAAACCCACAACCCTGGCGTTGCAACCGCCAGGCTCTACCAACTGAGCTACACGGGATAGACAAAGTCAAGTTTTAGATCCGAGGCAGAGATACTTTTGAGGAGATGGGAAACTCCATTGGAATCGTATTAACGCCCATTGTGTATGTTGCCCATGCGTCGGCAATGAGCCGCATGGTCCATTCTGGGCGATTCTGGGACAAGGAGAGCTTTCCTTCAAGGAGTGAATGGGAGTCAATTGGGCGCTAGCTCAAAAACCCAACTTTGAATTTGAATTTCGTTAAGAAGAAGTACAACATTACAAATATTTTCTGAGATAATTAACATTTTCTATGCAATATCGTGGTCCTCTGTAGCTCAGCTGGTAGAGCACGGCGCTTGTAACGCCAAGGTAGTGGGTTCGATCCCCGGGACCACCCATACACAAAAAGATGTATGCATGCATGACTGTAAGTCGCTTTGGATAAAAACGTCTGCTAAATGGCATATTATTATTATTTTCGTATAGCTTTGGAATCGTGGTATTACATACACTACATGACCAAAAGTATGTGGACACCCGCTCGTTGAACATCACATTAAAAAATCATGGGTATTAATATGAAGTTGGTCTCCCCTTTGCTGCTATAACAGCCCTGGGAAGGCTTTCCACTAGATGTTGGAACATTGTACAGAGCATCCTGCTGGATGTGTCAACCGTGAACATATTTTTCCCATTAAATCAAGTTGTTTCATCAGGGGTGTTGGGGGTTGCTGTTAGCACTTAAACCCTGCTAATGCTCTTCTCCAGCCCTCACATGCCCCTCCTGATTTCACACTCAGATGTGTCCAACATCTGCAAGTGCTGTACAGGCCTCTATCCTGCTGACCCCCAGGACAGACCATCTGGTCATCCAACAGGCCTGAAGACTGGAGCCGACCTACTCTAGACTCTCAAGCCCCAGACAGGAGAGTGGCTCAGGAGACGGACGATGGGCGATAGACTATGGACTTATAACAGAAGGATATTTGGATGGAGCACACAACTGTTTCAACCCCTGGCCAATGTCCATGATCTCTTATATAAAGACTCATGTTTATGTAGATAGAGTAGTGTTGATCTTGGCCTGGGCCTCTATTTCTCTCTGTAGCAGATTAATAATTAATGTGAAGCTACAGGAGTGTTCTGGAGGATCTGTCTGATAGTACAACACCAAGGTTAGAGTGTCTCAGCTTGGACAAGCTAGCTACATAGTTGGTTGTAGCTAGCATAGTTGGTTGTAGTATGGTTGTACTAGAACCATAACATGCAATCTATTATGGCATCAATTTCATGAAGTAAACATATTTTCTGGTTCTGACGGAAAAAAAAAAAAACTATAAATAGTTTTGAAAAAGCAGCCTCAAAAGAAACATAATTATTGAAGATGAATGAACAGTGCACGCTATCCACAGTACGTGATTCTACGCTACTCTGGAACATGTGAGTCACTCAAACTCTTGAAAGAAAATCCATATCATAAGACTTTGAAATGTACATTTAGAATAATTTTTCTAATTCTGTTTGACTGATATCAAATGTAATTAAACAACAACAAACACGATCTAAAGGTTAAAAAAAAAAGCCTACA